GCACGGAATGATTGAAGGAGTCCATGGTCCTGAGGGTTGCGCTTCATTTTCCGGTGAGCTCGTTTCCTTTGGAACAGTAGTCTGCTAAGCTGGCCGCATCTACCCAAGGCCAAGACGTTTGCACTTACATATAGGGTCCAGCGGATTCTGCCGGCAGAAAAATTGGCAGAATTCGGTACTTTTTCTGGTAAGTTTCATGCATGTTTGGTATGTGGATAAAGAAATGGAGCAGAATTCGAGGAATTGCCCGTCTTACGGTTTGTATGATTCTGCCAATTTTACTGCTTTTCGAGCAGAATCCGCCGGACCCTACTTAGATGTACATGTACATGTATATGTATTATGTACTTCCTCCGCGTCATTAAAATTGTCGCTTCGCACATCGCAATATTTGTGACTTGGCTCGTCTTCGTGAGACAGTCGGAATCGCTGTTTTCTGTGTTCGAACACTGGTGCGACCCTTCCTGCGCAATGTATACTTGTTACTGAAACCGTGGTGGTCTCGGACTTTGTCGGAGCTCTCTTCCGCAACAACCAAATTCATCGCGCTTCGCACTATTCCGCCCCAGAGCGCATTTCGTTTTCTGGAGTTCGTGCCGTCCCACATCGTTCGAGTGGACATTTATCAAGACTGCAAGCCCGGGTATAAGAATCCTGGTATCTCTCCTGAATACAAAATGCTGAAGTTGACGATGGCAAGAACAAAGTGGTCTCAAATTCCTAGAATGCGCTACTTGTGGCGCATGTTCCTGCGAAGGTAGCAGGTCTGAAAACACCGACAAAATCAGCGAACCGCTTGCCAAGGAAAGAAGGTGCAGAACTGCTTACCCTACCCCGCTGGAAGGTCGTTACAGTGCACTTGAAAAATGCTAGCTTGCCTTCATCCCCTGCCACCTGGAGGCATGGATCGCTTGAAAACGAAGTTTCTTGACCTGAATTTGAACGCGCGTCTTCTTCAGCGTATTGTTGAGTGCTGAAGGGTCTGCCTGAAACTCTGATCAAGACATCGACCTTAGCTACAAGTACAGCGAAGCGGGAGGCCACAAACTAAAGCTTCGTCCATCGACAACGCTTTGCCTCAATTTCTAGCTGATTTCTTTGCCCCTCGAGTGGACAAAATAAATTCGAAAAATCGCTCTGGGAAGCGACAATTTTAATGACGCGAAGGAAGTACATGATTGTATGTTTTCAGGAGGGTTTGAGAACAAAGCTGACCCGGAATTCGCGGAAGTGACCTTGTCTTGTTTTGACAGGCTGTGGTTTGACCTTGTACATTTGTGGTTGGACCTTGATTACTTTGTGAGGCATCTGTCAAGTAGTGTTACCCAATCACGCGTAACACGCGTGTATTGCGATATACATGTACAATGTACATGTAAACTAATTTTTTGTAACTTTGGAATGTGTTACGATAACTTTGAAAAATTTAAGTGTTATGACAGCTTTGAAAAGTGTGACAGTGAATCAGTGATAAGCATGAAACTCTTCTTTTTCGTTGATGTAATATGCAATGACATGCAATAACCCTCTCTGACAGCATCTTTCTTTTTTTTTCCCTTTTTAGCTTGCCGTGGTTGGCTATCACCTGACCTCTCATGTTTATTGGCAGTCTTCGGACGGGCCAGGAGATGTTGAATAAATAAATAAATAAATAAATAAATAACTCTTATTACGACAACTTTGGATCATGGAGAGTGTTAACATGACGACTAGCCCTTTCCCAAAAGTGCTCGCCCTTTTTTTCGCCCTTTTGGCCCTTTTTGGAAAAGCCCGTTTCTTTCGCCCTTTATTGCGTTTTTTGGTGAATATCGCCCTTTTTGAGCTTTTTTAGCTGAAAAAGTGCTAAAATCTGTTTGCTCATGCATGCGATCACAGTTTCCGAGTGCTCGATGGGCCTTGGCACGCCGCTTTTTTGAGGGGCAACAAGTTGGTGAAGCTTGTACTTTGTGCACAATGCTGTAAAAAGTGGGTTTTTTGAACTTTACTTCCTGTTTTGCCTTTCGTGGACCCATTAATGGAAGAGTGCGTATTCATTTCTCAGCTTGGGTTCATATCTGAACATGTATCATGGCTATGCTTCACTGAAAAAAAGAGCACTTTTTGCCTGTTTTCACTGAAAAAAAGAGCACTTTTTTAGCATATTTTGAGGGACGCGAAAAGCAACAAGTGCGAATTAAAAGAGCACCTTTGGGAAAGGGCTAATGACGACGCAAATCCACACAATCAAGTATACCCTTCCTTCTATCAAACGCTTTCTTTCCCTTCTCTTCAGAGGATTATCCGGGATAGTACAGGGAATGTTGGAACTTTCTCCATTATTCACCCCAGTGTCTGGAGATAATGTAGATAGACCGTTTGCACAATAAGCGAGCGGGGTCGAGACGGGGCATGCTGTGTAGACTCTACGCACTGCACACTTGGCATGCAATCAGCATTTTTTCTTTCTTCTTTTTCTGCAAAATCCACATTATCTCCAGACACTGGGGTGAATAATGGAATGTGATGGTAGGGCCCATTAAGCTCAGCCGACGAAAGGTCTCGGCTTCATAGCTCCATGGACGCACCAAAGGGGCATCGGGTGAGTTGAAAAAGAAAACAGAAGAAGGAAAGTGAAAAGAATGTATTGCTCAATGAGCAAAAGAATAAGTTGAGTATTTGCGTGAACACTGCTAGAGGAGACTGTCCGTGAGGAGAGATTATGTCCAAGCAGGGTAGGACACTGTACCCTCTTACTCCCGTATGCTATGAGTGGTAGGCACCGGCGGATTATTTGTTATATTTAAGGATTTCCCAAAGGCTTTGGGCCTGTCGAGGGGATCTCCTGCAAGAAGAATGAAATGACAACTTTATGTAGAGGGAGCAGTTAATCGAGGATAGGCTAAGGAAATAGATCGAGGCATACAAAATCTGGTAATTAAGGAGTTGGGATACCGTCAGTGTAATGAATATATCGGCGAAAATGCTGATAGAGAGAATGCTTGAATTCGGGGAGGCTGGTTATAGCGGTAAGAGACGGCGGTAGGCAATTCCATAGCATTGCAGCTTTGTTGGAAAAGAGGGAAGAAAAACGCACACCGTGATAATTGATGTTAAGTTTGTTTGGTCTTCTTGGACTTGAAGACAATGAAAGGTGAAAATGTTGGAGGTGTTCTGGAGATATACGTATAAGTTTAAATAGAGTAACAAGAGCTGATACTTGTCTGCGAAATTGCAAGGACTCTAAGGGGCCGTCCGTAAATATCGATGTTTTTTTAGAGACGATATTGGTGCTTCTCTCCCTTGACCCCCCTCCCTCCCCCCAGAAGACGCACATGTACATCTAGATCATGGAATCAATATTAATTTTTTGGATGCTCATGAAGTGCCCAGGATGTTGTCATGTTGAGGGTCCGGTGTAGGCGTGAAAATCCCGCCGCACTCACGCAATAGCTGCATCGCCTGGGGGGAGCGAACCGGGTTGGCGCTGCAGTGCAGTGCTCACAGTCACAGCCACCGTGTACTGGTGTAGCCAAAGCGGCTACGCTCGGGCTTGAATTTTTTCAAATCCTTGTTCAGACAGTGAAGACTGGAAGCTCTTGTGGAGTTCGTCCGTGTTTGTTCGCACTGCTATGCCTCTACGTCTTGAAAAAGGTCTCCTGCAGGCATCGTTCGGCCGATTTCCACAATCAATAGCTCATTCTTTTGCTCTGGAAATTCGCCATGGGCGTACAGCTTCCAATTTTTGATTTTGTTCTTGTGTCGCGAGTTTTAGCTCCGCGAACGGAAGCTGGTTTCACATTTCTTGTATAGCCATTTAGACGTCCGCGTGCAGGGATCGGCGAAACTTCAGATATTTACATCGATATTTTTCTGATGCTCGAAAAGACGCACATGGCTCAAACCCCCTCCCCCCCCCCCCAGACGCACCAATATCGTCTCTAAAAAAACATCGATATTTACGGACGGCCCCTAAGTCACAAAGAGCATTTAACTGGGATTTCGTTTCGCATCTATCTACATTGACTTTTTTACGTAGCAAATACTTCCTAGCTACTCTGGCTTGTAAAATATTTAAACGCTCCAGCTCAGCTTTGGTGATGGCATAGGACCAGGCCGAGATGGCGTGTTCCAGGGCGGGTCGGACAAAACCTTTATAATTATAGAAGTAGAAAGGCTGTGGGGGCAAGATGCCGTCCCATGAAGCATAGCAGATTCACACGACGTTGGAAGGTTTTCAGGATGGTCTGGAGGTGGATGGTGTAGGACTGGTCGGGTGCTAAATACACTCCAAGATGCTTCGCAGCTTCAGCGATGGTGATAGGTTGGGAAGAGAGCTGGATAGGGTGGTCGTTACTGTAGTTACGGATCTGGGTCGTTGTGGCTGGTGAGAACTCTCCACCGACGTTGCTGGCCCATAGTTGGCAGGCTGAAAGGTCGCTCTCTAGACGAGATTGGTTCCACTGCAGGGAATTCTTGTTATCATGTACATACAGGAGGGTGACATCGTCAGCAAATAAGTATGGGGTGCAGTAGGTGATCGATGAGGGCAGGGAATTAACAAATAATAAGAAGAGGGTTGGAGCAAGATGCGATCCCTGCGGGACTCCACAGGTGAGGACCTTGGCCTCGGAATATTGTCCTTCCAACCTTACAGACAGCCTCCGCTCAGATAAGAAGCTTCGGAGCCAGTCGACTGCTTGCCTATCAGCAATTCCTTCAAATGCATTTAGCAATGCTTGATGATCCACACGATCAAAAGCTTTCTTAAAGTCGAGGAAAACACAGTCGAACTTCAGCTTCTTGTCCTTGCACTCAGCCATTTGATGTGTCAGCAAGAGCAATTGCTCCTCTGTAGATCAGTTTCTGACAAATTATGCCGGCATAAATATTGCCATAATTTGGTGGAAATTTGGAGCATAATTTTTGGCATCCTTTCGGAGGTAGGAGCATAACTACATGATTGTGCCACAGTTCTGGTATGTAGGCTACACTATTGTGTACAATGGGGCTGTTAAGTGATGACGTCACAGTTCCTTCGATACGCATAGCAACGATCCCACTGGGGACAAACAAAAGTAGCGTCGTCTCCACCGAACCAGTTGTCAGTGGCAACATATAGGAATCGTGTACATTTCTTCGTTTCTTCTTTGCTGTTTTCAGTGAGTGTTTTGTTTTCTCTTTGTCCTTGATCTCGACGGCGTTATCGTGCTCATTACCTTACTGAGACGTCTCTTGTGACTGTAGCCAGTGTCACGGAGGATTTTATTGGCGTGACGAGGTAGATCGCCGAGATCGAGCGTGAAAACGCTCTGCATTAGTAGCTCCTGTAGAATGTCTTCTGGGATGGCGTATCCATGGTCAACAAAGCCAAGGTGCAAGACAGCATAAGAGATCGTGTAAACGATGTGAACTCCAAAAGGTAAGCTCCTGAACAAGTGGAAAGATATGTGTATTTACAAACTCTCTCTCTTCATCCATCGATTGCCGCTATGCATTGCATTTTGTCTTCACAGATAATCTGGACAAATAAATTATATTGTAACTGGAGAGTGCAGTCGTGCTTGGGGCCCATCCCAATGTCATCACATGGCTGTGGTGACTAGTGTATACCTGGGAGAATTTTCCTCAACTGAGACGGAGTGTAGATGGATCGATTATGAGAAATGCGAAGATGTGGAGTAAGTTGTGTCGAAGAAATGTGTAATAAAATAAAATTTACTTTACACTCAAACATACACTGTACATGTACATGTAACATCATGATAATGATGCCATCTTCATTATCTCCGCAACAGGTACGCCATACGCACCGAATACATGGTGTGTGTGCACGTGCGCGCTTGCGTGCGCGCGTACATGCACACACTCTCACGCGTGGCCGAGTTGGCCGGATGAACAGACCACGCATTTGCACGAGGTGTCCGTCATGTCATTGGAGTGCTGTACTTTATGACTCAGGCGTAGGAGGGGTTTTGGAAGTGGTACGACCGAAGGTCGGTGCGGCGGAAGGCCGTGTTGGAGGGGGTCCGCCCCCCCCCCCGGGAAAATTTTGTAAAACACACAAAATCCTGCGTTCTGGGAACTTCTGGCGCAGTGTGCAGTCGAGTCGAGTACAGTACTCAGTACGACTGCAGATGCATAACAGATCTACAAGTACGAGTCTAGAAAAAGGTCTGATGCGCATATGCAAATATCGATGGATCCTGATTTTTATTACGGTTTTGCACGTTCCAGACGGACCACACTTTTCGAAAAGTGGTGCGGCCATGGTCGTACCAGTCGTAGCGGGTGCTACGCCCCTGTGACTTTATTCCAAAATAGTATGTCGTGCCCCTGTCAAATGGAGTTTGTGTCTATGCTCAGCGGGTATCGGGCCATGACACCACACTGCAGTCAGCGCTGGAATTAAAATAGCACTTCATGGATTATTTTAACTAATTTCCTTTGCGTTTACTTTGTTGAGCCCGTGGTTTCATTTCTGTGTTCTGTTATGATTGGCCTCTGGAAATAACCGGAGTGGATGTCATTTTTTGTCATAATGTGTGTGCCTTGTGCAACAGGTTCAAGGCTAGATGCACTTCACATTCGGCGTGGGATCTCGGCGTCTGGGACCTGATAACGTCTTGGTTGGATGGGTGATCAAGGATGATACTACTCGGCACACCAATGTACATGTCAATGTAGTTTTTACTTTTTCAGAGCTGCACTATTTACGTCTTGATGCTTACTTCGGTGCTAGAGTCGTGTTTTTTTTTCCTCTACAAAATCCACATATCTCCAGACACTGGGGTGAATGATGGAGTGTGGTGGTGTCCGTGTGTTGCTACAATGTCATTATCTGTATTGTATTCCGTCTGCTTATACATGTGTCTTTACGAAGTGTTTGCCGTGGCGGCGATGTGTCTTGTCGATCAATAGTGTTGTGAAACCTATCACTATTCTTGCTTTGCTGGCTACTCGCTCGCTCCGCGCCGTGCACGCTACTAGGTCTTGTAGTATATAGCTTGATGCTTTGCATCGATCGCTGGTTGTTGTTCTTGTTGCTTCTCTGTTGTTTGAGCTTGGTCCTAGAGTGAAGCTTTGGTCTTCTTGTGTGGTGAGGGTGAGGAATGGGTATCTGGACTTCTGGTATATTTCCGTAAAGAACCTGGAATTGTAGAATCCTGAGAGTATGTCTGGCCCACTCCCCGGTCATGACATTAGCGTGTTTCCCCCGGATTATTTCTATCATCCTGCGTGTTCTTGGGCTGAGCGAGCACATGCACGAGTGTGCAGCTATAACCCTGTGTATCTTTGGTTACACTTTGTTCTGCAATGCATGTACCTTGTAACAGTCTGTGCTTGCACTGCTTTGTGTGGCCTGCGTATTTCAGGACTATTCAGTGCATCAGACCCAGGTTGGTTTGGTTGCCGGATGATCTCTTGTTGCGTCGCTCTGTGTTTTGTATTTATCAATTTTTGGGCTTGAGAATTGAGCTGGTGTGTGGTTCCCAATATGAAAACATCATGCTGGTGCTCTGTGTTTCGATTATCGACTGTCCGAGCAGTCACGATTCATTACCAGAACGGTCAATACTGTAGTCTCTTCACGTGTTTGTGTTTTCGCCGGGGGAATTAGCGGTGCCGTTGCACATAGAACGGCAGTGTTGCATCACTGGACGACCCTGCCTCTGCATCTGACTTCATTTCCCCAGGATCTGGTGCAGATACACCAGACAGTCACTTCCTGTAAACACGCAAACAGCAAAAGAAGAGATCCCGCAAATCAGGAAAAACCATTGCGGAAAATATCGAGTAGATCATACACCATTCAATAATCTGGAGTAATTACAGTGAGAAAAACACTTCAAACAGTGCTCTCTCTCTCTCCATCCTTCCAAAATACCCTGTAACAATTCCCTGGAATTATTATATTTAAAAAAAATAATTTTATATTCTCAGGACATCATTCTGAACAACTTCTTCCATGGGTCTTCAATCACCACGGAGGGCGAGAATACAGCTAAGTCATGCAGTCTACGAGAGGTGCGGGCTGTCATGGATATAGAGGCTGATATTGTGCCAGCGTGAGGGCAGAGACAGAAAGAAGACACTGATTTCTTGAACAACTCACCTACATATAATCGAATCCACAGGGAGCGCTTGTACTTTGATCCATCAGGAGGCGAAGAATCTTCAAAGCACTCTCAAACACGGAGTTTTACAGTGGGCAGCCAATTTCACAGCCATTATGAAGGCCCTCGACGACTACAGGAGATTTGTAGAGGAAAGAACAAGGAGTAAAGAGCGACAACAATCGCTTGACGAAAAAGCAAAGAAAAACTGCTCTCTCTCCAGTCATTTAGATGCTGTTGCCCTTCACAACTGGTTCCATCCAGAGGACGCGACTTTTGTTTGTCCCCAGTGCTCTCCGTTGCTATGCGTATCGAAGGGGCCGTGACGTCACACTTAACAGCCCCATGCACTTGATCAGCTCTGGTGGTCTGCATGGTAACGGGTTCAGAGGTCATGCAGATTGTGTTTTCAATGAAAAGCAGGGTAGAAATCATGGCAATACATTATTGTATGCTCGACCTCGTCTTATTCAAAGTTCTTTCTCAGACCGATACAGTACATGCAGCAGAAGATGCGAGTCAGCCTTTATCAGGTATCCCGGGCGGAAGAGATAGTAGGGAGGTTTCGCTCTACGTAATTACGTATGAAAATCCGTATGTCGCCCGCGCCGGGGAGCGAGGGCAACTTTCATACGTAAATCTCTCTACGGATTTCCGTAGGAAAGCTCTTTCGTTGGGTCCTCCGTAGGACTTTTTGAAATATTTTTTTGCATTTTCCGCATTTGTCCATGGCAACATTCAAGCCGCGCGAAACACAAGGTACGTACACACACGTACACCGACCGTACACCACGTGCAAAATATAATGGAAAACGCGGTTTCGGTTCATGGTGCATGCGGTGGGCGCATGCAGCCAACGCGTCTCCAAAGCAACAATGCATCTTTAGCAGTCGTGGAGAAATCACGTAGAGCGAAACCCAACAGCTCTGATTTTTACGTATGAAAATTCCGTGCAGTTCATACGTTATTTTCATACGTAATTTCGTACAGCGAAACCTCCCTAGTGATGAGTAGTCCGCAAAACTCTGCGTACATGTACAATCATGTACATTATAGGCGATTCACACGACAGGCAAATCCACGTTTACAGGAAAGTCACCATGGAGATATTCCTGCGGGTGACCAAAATTTGCCCGCGGGAATCAAAAGTGTCCATGGCCTTTTTGCCCGCGGATGCACTCATCTGCGGGCACTTTTACAGTTATGAGGCTGTGAGGTCGTACTATGGTACGGTAGTCTTGAACCCTGGTTGTTTGGCCTTTGTTTTTGGGTACTCATTCCAAATCACCACAGTAACGCCGTATACTCACCGGATACTCGCGGGAGCTCTGGCCGCCACCCGCGGCCGTGTGAACTGCAGCCTCACGTTTCACTTCCTGCGGGCACTTGACAAACGTAGATTTGCCTGTCGTGTGAATCGCCTATAATGCATGATACGAAGTCAGGACCTCTGGATTTTAGCAGCCATGACTGTGCAGGCTATGGATATTGCTCTATGATAATTAAAAAAATTGCTGATATTCGATCATGATGGAAGGAGAGGTGGAGCTACGGGATCGGGAGAGATGAGCTGACTATTCGCAAGGTGAGGTTGACATTGGTTGGACGAGTAGGACGATTACTAAGACAGTTGAACGTGATAAATTTCCAAGGTAACTCAAACTAATTTGGCAATAAAAAAATCGTTTTACAAAAGAAATCAACTAATGAATACTCAGAATCATGGGAAGAAGTAATAATTATTGTTTTCTCTTTTCCACGCTGATCTCTATAGCATGCATGGACACATTGGTATGAGGATACTCATGCATTTTGTTGTGCTTATGGCCACTTGCAAGTACGAAAAGTCGAAAAACGTACAATTTTCCGAAATTTGAGGCTCCGTAAGTACTTGGAAGTACAACAAAGTGAAGATGTATCCCTGCATGCCAAAGCATAATAATGGATTTTGCGAGCATAATGCGAGAATCCATGAAAGCACAATTCCATGATTTCGCTAGCATAATCCGCCGGAGCCTAATGAGTGGCCCAGTGCCAGTTTGTTGTGAGGAGATGGTGATAAGCTGTTCTCTTGAACTTTTGGATGTTCTTTGGGTGAAACTGGTGGGGAATGATAGAGGCAGGCAGCTGGTTCCAAATGGGGATGACGGAGTTGGGAAAGGCTCGGCTCACATTGTCCTGGGAATTTGCAGGAACTTGGGGCATTCTGTAGCTGATGGGAGTGCGCGGTGGATAATCGTACAGCCTGGGGGTGAGGTGTGTAGTCCTGGGCTGGTGTGTCGGGGGTGGAGTCATTCTCGAGAGAAGACCGGGAGAATTATCGCAAAGGGCTTTATACAGGAGGCAGAGGGCAGTGATGGTGCGGCGAATCGTGAGGCTAGGAAGCCAGCATAGCGGATGTATTGCTTTGATGGCTCGCTCCTACACCCAGTCCAGCCGATTCAAGGGGGAAGGAGCTGCCCCCATCCAGACGATTGGGCAATACTCCATAACCGGCCGGACAAAGGCTTTGTAGGCTCTAAGTCGGGCAGGAATAGCCAGCAATAGGCTTTCCCCAAATCAGCCGGCCGGAAGACTTATCGAAAAATCGCTAAGCCTTTCGCCGATTTTGGAAGGTTCCTTTGAGAATCGCCGAAAATCTACAAAATTTTGTTGCCAGTGCGTTTACTAACGAATGATGTTTCTGCAAGCATGACCGCTCGAGCTCTCTACTTCAGTGCTTGCAGTACATGTGCGTTGAGGTCGTGTGACTCGTGTCCTTTGACCTCCTCTCAAACTAACATTAGCCATTAGGAAGATCGTTACTTGTATAAGCCCCAAATCGGCCGGCCGAAAAGTTCGCCGAACGCGAGACTTATCGAAAAATCGCTACGCCTTTCGCCGATTTTGGAGCGTTTCTTTGAGAATCGCCGAAAATCTACCAAATCTTCCTATATCTCACAAATTTTGAAGCCAATATGCCAACAATTCTTTTAGCCGATTTTCCAATATAATCCAATTTTGCACCCGATTTTCGAACAGTCAGCTGATTTTGCAGCCGAATCTGATGTATTTTTGAGCTTAGCGAAAAGCCGAATAGGCGAAAAAACTGGCCGATTTGGGGAACGCTTAGTCATTTGCCGGGCAGTGCTAGTTGTCGTAAGTTGTATAGTGATGATATCTTTTCGATTCTAATTCGTGGAAGGTCTAAGTTACATCTTGCTGTGTTAGAAGCTCTGTATATTCGTAAATTAGATCCAGAACTATGTGTACAGAAGGAGAATGTGTTATCGTTGCAGTTGTTTGGTGTCACACCTCGTGAAAGTGTGACAAGTGTTTCCTGATGTGTTCAACGTGTTTGTCTACAACCTGCAGCTTTTTATTTTATTTTTTTATTATTATTATTAGAAAGGAAAAGGACATATGGAAACGAGTTAAGAGTAACTCTCCCCCCCCCCCCCCACTGTAACTAGATACTATATACAGTCAGAAAGTGCAACAACTAGGCACAAAACTGACAGAGTACTGAGACATTCGACGTCCTGACACCTAGCTTCAACACATCTCCGTAGCGCTAACCGACAGCCTTCCAACTTGGAAGGTCCAATGTTATGGAAAGACCAAAGAGGGGAAGGCAAGCGCAACGAAAACGAGCACAAGCTACAGTCCCAAC